TGTATGTTTCTGGACTGTATCAGAAAGAACTCATTTAACAGGCAGTGCTACAAAGAAATATCACTTCACTGGTTGTTTGTGGTCCCGTTACGATCAGCCTAACACCGAGGATTTTCTAATATATTCACAATAATGTGTGAAGTATCAGTTCGTGTAGGGGATGACGGCCACCATTATCCCAGTTCGAATGTCCTTGATAGATGATTTCCGCATTTTCGGTGTTCACTACATTCCTTAGTTCAATGGAGCTAGTAACTTCCGCTTCCCAAATTGATTACTTACGCATGCGCTAAGGACTCTTGAAATGCGAGTTTTCCGAATCTATCGGATGGGCACGCTGGCCATNATCTCCGTGATTACGCAGCCAGCACGGCTTTTCTAACCGGTGCTTTTGATTTGCGTTGTACGGGGGAATTTTCTGAGGGTGAAAACAAGGTTTCGGAAGAAATAGAACATCTTTTGGGGTTTTCCAGTAATGTTGAGTTATGTACACTGGAACAGAGTTTTGACATGTTGAACACTTTTGCAATCCAGCTGCTTCATTGAAGGACGCTCGAGTGGCCTTTAATTTCGGATACAAGCCGTTCAGTTGCCCACCCAAACACCCATCGCGTTCCGGTCTACCATGGACTCCTGTCGCTCTCGTCGACGATTCCAAGCGAGTGGGAAACTGGAATGTCGGCTGGCGAGTGAATCCTGGTGATGTCAGTTCAAATACCAACTTGGTTGTTTCTCCTAACGGTCGGATGGTTCAAGCGGTCGAGAATACCGGTTGGCAGGGATTCCGAGCGAATAAGGTTAGTTTATTCACATGGATGCCTAGGCATCAATTATTCGATTCAATGATTAATATTTTATGGAATTACCCAAATTGTTTTCTTGGTGTAATCCAACCCTGCTCTAGCTTCAATCCTGGTGTACTCAGTTTCAGTTTGTACAACCATTACCCGTACAATTTCGTGCACCTGTTCTGTTTGCTGCCTTTTGGCTGCCCGTTTGGATGAAATAGCAGGAGAAAGACCGGAAATTTGAAAGTTGAATCGAACAGAGGATGGAGAATTTCAGCAAACTAAGGTTGTAAGGAAATTAAGAAGATGCATGAGCTGTAGATAATTCATTCAAAAGAGAACTCACACCATTTCTCACTCTCATACAGTTGGGTTGTATTATGAGCTATCGTTACCCTACATTTGGCACCCATAGATAGTCAAAACAAAACTACGCATTACCAATAGCAAACTAAGGATTTCCAGCAAAATCACAGAGCTTAGGCGAAGAGAAGTTGTATGGCAATTCTCAGGAGATATTGTCTGACGGGACCTGATGAGAACTAACCCTCCTTGTTCTCGGCAATACGTGCTTTGTTGTTGACAATTTGTAGTTTGGTCTTGGAACGATCGGGTACTGTTCTCGCAATCTTTGGATCCATTATAGTCATTTATTCTAAAAAGGCATTTCAACTTTCAGCTTTTTCGTGAAAGGTACAAACTGCGAATCGTTTTCTATTCAACAATGCACTGATAGCCAGACACTGATGTTTGTAGTGATCAATGACCTTTTGACCCACCCACTCCGGCGACCACAGTTTGCAGACATTCAAACTGTAATGACTAAGTTTACTTGAATTTCGCCTTACACGTAGGTATTGATCAAACTCTGGCAACACTGTGACTTTCTTCAGACCTCTTCCTCTCAAAGCCTAGCGTTTTGAGCGTCATTCACGGGAATAAATATGAAAATAGCCCACAGCGACCATTGTATAACTATAATAGTATACTCCTATGTTGTTGCTCCTATTAGTCGAATGTCTAGTAAATGTACGACCTAACGTACCCATTGAATTGTGACAATTCGGTTGATATTGTTCCTCCTCAGTGTTGTCTTACCGAAGTTCCCCTAATTATGTGAAGGTTATATTTAATTTTACATCGAAGCACCGGCGCCGGTTACGAACTGCGAGGCGGATTTGTAGACCTCGGTAATAAGCTGCCCCTCTGTTTCCCTTGCTTACCAAAAGCTCTTGAGGGTTTCATCATGTTTGAGTACGGTGATCTCAAAAAACGCCTATTCAACCAGCTACATGTCTCAAGGTCGACTATTTAAGGTCAATATTCACGTGTACTCTCTTCATGGCGAGAAATGTTGCTTAAGCAGTTTGTAGTCACAATTTTCCAATTTAATTATGGCAACAAGTGATCATCTCTCGGTTGATTTATTGTGAATCGTTTGTAAAAGGATTTGCTATTTAGAAAAGACTTGAGTTGACTAAAATGAGCACTTTTAAAACAAACATTGTTTGTCAGAAAGAATAATTTTCCATGCTGCTATAAACCAAAACGCTTCCTATCTGGAGCTGTAACTTGCAAACCCATGCAAGTTTTATCGTAACAATCAAAATCGCACCCACACAAATACTGATACAAGAGGATTGAGAATATAGCATTTTGCGATAAAGCACGGAATCAATTCCCTTTACCCATAGCTATCGATAGACAAGTATATTGTAAACTGAAGTGTCTTTATCGGTTGAGGGTCATGTCGCACAAATTCCAGAAATACCTGTATTCTTCACTTGGCAAAATGTCCCTTTGCCTCCGTCTAAGGGAGACAAATACTGCAAATTTTCCACTTCATTATCTACCTCGTGCAATGTGGCCAAACGGCTTCATGAAACATTCTGCACTCGCGTATGACCACGAAGCAAATGGGATAAGAATGCAGATAATCCGAATCACCCCCAGCCTCATTCCGCGTTCGTCCTTTAGTTTATGAACTATCGTATTATCATTGTTCTTTCGACCCAGGATATCCGGAATCCCTGTGTGCCAAGCTTTCTCTGTGTAGATGCTTGCCATTTTTCTATTTCAAAGAAACCATAAACACAACTGTCTGTACGGAAATCTGATGTTCCCATCCACGCAGCACAACGTATTCATCAACCTCATAAATTTTCACTTTGAACGAGATAACGGGTTTTTCCAATGGTCAGACTTATATTGTCTGTGGTTGGAAACCTGTTTCAGCATCACCTAATCTTCTACTGCTCACAGACGTCAAAGTCACGAGCTTGGTGGGTACATAGACATTTGTTATTTTATTGCTATGAGGACAGTAGAATTTAATGGCTCTGCAACTTCACTGTCTACAATGAATTTTTAACAGTTTGAAAATTCTACTAAACCACTCATCAGGTGACCGCGTAAAGTGATTTTATGAGAATATAATGAATTTGACTAAATGTTCGTTCATCATGCTGGTGCCAGAATATCGAAAATACAGAAATGAAACCGAGTACTGATCGTTACACGATGAAGATACATCAACTGATCAGAGCTACTGAAATATATCATTTTAATATTGTGAAGAGTTTTTGCATTGAACTTTTTTCGGCAATTCCCGGAATAAAACCAGTATTGTGAGAAGATTCCATGAACCCATCATGATCAGTCCGCTTAAACACTGCGGAGTTATATCCTTTTTGGCAATCAACCACCGATAGTTTACGGAATTAAAACATTGATTCAATTCGGCAAAACGAAAGGAGGAGTTTAGTGACGATGAATAGTGTGAGCAGTTGGGTATTGCGTAATAGGCCCCGATTCTTTTCTTTTGGGTTATTGACAAAGAAATTAAACTTAATCACTGTTTTGCAAATCGAAACAATGTTGTACGAAAGTTGAAACAGTTATTTAGGACCTGTGTAAGAAACTTTGGTGTTTTGTGCTTGGTACCACTATCCCTCAGTTCCGTTTACCTGAGTAACAGCTATTGTATAATCAAAGTCCAGAAAGGGGGCCTCGGTCTGCTGGAAACTCAAAAATAACTTCTGAGAAATTAGGACGATAGTAATGACGGGATTTGAACTCTCGAACTGAGAGGAAGTAGGCATATGGTCTATACTCCTCATTCGCCGGAATTATTAAGACTGCAGCTTATGTTTTCTCGATATTTTACATTTAAAACTCATTTGGCCCATCAAGCTGCACGTTATCCACTCCTCTTGACTACGTCGAAAAAGAAAACAGAAACCATACGGAAACAGTGCTGCCAGTACAGTCAAATCATTCGTGTAAATTGTCAGAGATTCTCCGTCTCCATCATTGCATTAATAATAGTGATGACTACGTTCCTCAAGCAGTTAATGTATTAACTACTCAGAGCTCGTGGGTTTCAGTCCCGTCAGCACCGACTATTTTCCCAAATTTCGTCTTTCCCCAGGAAATCCATGACTGACCATTTCCTCCTACCTTCAGATTTTGTGTATCGTCTTATTATCAGTGAACCAAAATGAAATTAAGATTTTATTGATCAAAGAAAAGTACCTGCCATTATTTGGTTTAATGTGATATCTCTGCTAGAATGATATCGCAAACACCCTGTACCATCAACGAATCCCGTTACATCCCATTATTAGATAATATCCACCCCGGTGTCTGGTGTTGCCCGCTCAATCAAAACCGACCCTGACATGGTGATCATTTCTTTGAAATTGATTCAGGAATAAAACAGTCAGGTCAGAAGAAGATTATTTCAGATCACAAATTGTGTCTCGCAATCATCGTTGCTATTGCTACTGCAGCTTTCGTTGTCATCAAAATGCTGGTGATCATAAAGAAACAAGGAATTTGATGGAGCACTGAATAGACCTGATGGAGTTGACCATAGACCATGTATGTACGCACGCATTCTCCAGTTCGGGGTTGAATTATCATCGTCCTAATACTTTTCAGTCAACTCAACTCACCCCTACCTATCCCTCCAGAAACTGAGCACAATAAATAGTTAAACTCACTAGTACATGTGTTTTGTTGTTGCCGCTGTGGTTGCTGTTAATGCCGTTTACTATATAATGAAAATATCATTGCATGTGTACGCCGGTGAAGAAGAAAAACAAGCAATACGAGTATGCGATTCAGTCTCAGCATGCATTCTGTTCCGATTTGCACAATCTCGATAGTACGTGCACCCGCTGAAATGTCTTTGTCTCCCCCGTGAGGTCCAAATTAAGCAACAGCGCAACCCACTGTCGACGTCCGTTTCGACGCAATTATGCCTCGCCTTTGCATGCAACACATTCGGTCTCTGAAACCATTTCGGTGACTCGATCGATTTGGTGCTTTTCCTTTCTGCGTCTCTGGTATACGAGTTATCTATGTGAGTCAAGTGTTTGCCTAATCTGTAGTTGATTGATAGATCCCTGGTTAACTGAAAACGCAACGAAATCACAACTCATAATTTGGCTAGCAAACAAATGAAATAATCTCGAATTTTATGACTTTTACCGTTCGACACGCGTTTCCGTATCCAACGATTCCTTAATTCATTCGATCAGGGTATTTTCGGTGGCGGTAAGTACTATTACGAAATCGAGTGTATCGAAGATTCCGGTTTGGCGCGAGTCGGTTGGTCGTTGGATGGAGCTAGTCTGGATCTGGGCTTGGATGCATTTGGCTACGGATTCGGTGCCGATCGAGACGGTTTCGGTATAACTGGTTTGCAGGGCAAAAAGTTGCATGCGGATGTGATCGAGAACTACGGTGAAGTGAGTGGATCAATCATGCTCAAATTCAGAGTCATTAAATATTCTCCACTTTTCAATTCCTGAACACATACATATGAATGCATGTCCACAACCTCAACCTGCTAAACACCGTTAGACTGCAATCATCACAAGTCTTGCGGTCACCATGGTTACGTTAATTTTGCATTTTGATCATTAAACCGTTAAAAAGTATCTCTCTGACTTTTTAATGAGATTCGTGTTTTAAAACGCCGATAAAATGATATTTTGGAACACATCAGCAGTAGATCACGTGATTATTTTTGGGCAAACGAAACGTGTACAGAACAGTTGGTAAGCGCTGTACACTTGTTTTGACCTTGTTATGTTGTTCTTGTTGTATCGTGAATGGACTAAAGTAAAAACGGTCTGGCTGGCTACCTGGTGATCGAGTAGGTGGTACGCTCTTGTTTTACCTGTGAGGTTTTGCGTTCGATCCCCAGTTGGGTCGATGGATTCGCACTGCTGATGCGAGCCAACCAGGTCGAAACAACTGTACAGTACTTGTTAGCCTTTCAGTTAACGTTACGTTTGCCATGTTTATAAGTAATATTATCATGCAAAAAGTTGTAACCAGAAAAGTTTGCTTTTTCGAGATTAGACTTCCGCATATCCCACTAGAATCACTTGCAGTCGAAGTCGTTTTTATTCCCAATCAGTTTATACTGCTACATTTTTTCCAATTGCGTTACTACTGCTCACGATTCATATATTTCATCTGCTTCAGTAGGTGTCAGTAAGAATGCAAGATAGTTTTGTGTGCATCTGTCGTGTAATGTGTTCACTTAGATTTTAAACTTTAATATTTGAAAACCTTGATTTCTATTATTTTTTATATTCGATTCTCTCTGATTTACACGTGTTTATTTATCAAATCTCTTATGTATTCCGTTTCACATTGCTACGTCTAGCCATTTGTTGGATCATATTCATATATTTAGTGTTCTGGAATTCATTCTCTTCCCGAGCAGACAAAGTTCAGTGAATATCGATCTTTTATATTGTATTGAATCATATGGTTGCTTGGAGCGCAATAAGATTCTTATGCTCAAACTAGATAAAAATGTGCCTAAAATCACTTCTAATCCTGGTGCCAAGCAATGTAATCTATGAGATGTTCAGCTTCAAATATTGGAATCTTTTTAGTATCCTTTCTCGAACAATCATAATATAATATATGTAAAATATGTAATATAAAAATCATGTTTCAATTCATTCTTTTGCTTACCAGTAACTTTAATTTTATTTTATAGTTCCCATTTCTCTCCAGAACTGATACATTTATGCGCGCGCACCCAAGAAACACTCATAATTCACAACCACCACCCACATTCTTCTCTTTTCGTTTGATGGACCGGAAAAAAATGAAAAATATCAATCACTTTAGTTAGATATCAGTCCACACTTAGATCTCTCATAGGTGTTCTCTCGGGACCAGTAAATGACGACGACAGAAACACACCCAAAGTGACGTTCTTCTCGAAAACAAAGTTGACAGTTTCCGAGTAACGTTTCTCCTGTTTTCCTTCGACTCAGAATCGTTCCGTTTTTACTCCTTCTTTCTTATTTACTTCTTTTGCCTCCCTCCATCATTATTCCCAATCCCCGATCGGTTGAAAGGCATTTGGAAAAGATGATGTGATCGGGTGCTTCCTCGATTTGGACGCGGGCGTGATACAGTGGTCCAAGAACGGGCGTATGTTCGGTCCAGCCTATTGGCTTCGAGAGGAACAATTGAAACAGAATGAACCCATTTATCCCGCTGCATCGCTGGTCGATACTACTCTGGAATTGAATTATGGTGACTTACCCTTCAAATTTCCTCCGGAGGTAGGTTGAACACTGCCGGACACGGAGATAGAAATAGGATGACTATCTGTGCGCGAATCACGGTATTTATTAGGGATTTTTTTTATTCGTTCAAATCGCTTATAAAAATTATTATTACACATTTATTCACTTAGTGGAAAATAGTTTCAACCTATTTTCAATGTACTTTGGCAGCACGTTGATACAACCAGCTCCCTTTAAGATTATTATGAGAGCAAGAAGTGTCATGCTCACAGCATTTGTTAAATTCAGTCATTTCTTGGTGATCTCATCTTGTTCGTTTGAAAGAGTGACAAGTTTGGGGACAAGCGAACACCCACTGAGAAAAGAAATGAATTAAAACAGAGCGAAAAGATCACAAAACCGGTTTGGGAGCAAAAACAGGGAGCTCACCGCGGCAGCGCGAGGCTGGCCAAGAACTCGATCTGTTTAAGCAGGTCTGGTTACTAGTGCTGGATCGCAGTTGCTTAAGGGAACCGCAGTAAGCGGCTACTTTGCTGGCGAATTGGGACACAAAGGGCTTCTTTAGGAATTTCAAATTTCTTGCAATCTTCTATTTGACAGACCGTTGAACTGGTTGAATACATAGACCTCGTACACGCCAGACTCTTTGGTACATTCTCTGATGTGCTGGCAGACAATTGAATCCAGGTCGACAGTTTACCGGCAGACCATCACCTCTCAGTTCTTCAGACGTACCTACTACGGCAATGGCATTAAAAAGGGTAAAACCAGAGGTGATAGGTGACGAGTTCGTTTGTTCTAGATTGAATTCAGTGAGCATTCGTTTCGTGTCGTCTAGAGGAACTATCAGGGAAGCAACATTATGAGTTCCTGCAATGGCCTTATTTAGCGTCTATTATTTTGATCACCTTTAAAAGGTTGGTTAAAAAGATGGCTTTCTTCAAGGCAGTATGCCACAGTTCTCGTTTATCCAAGGACCTTATATGCTTTGCAATAAAATCTCTTGGATATACGTGATCGTCCATTGTTGTTGATACACAAGAAAAGTCTATGTTTCACTGAGGCAGAATATCCTGGTTCTAGACAACAAACCCTGTACCAACGATTGTGGGTATAATTTTACACTGGACAAGAAATAAAATTTAACTACCATCCCGTCTTTGTCCGCTCGTGAACTACAGATCCGACGAGATATCCGTCTTCTTCTCTCCTGCATTTTGTAATTCGGAATTGAAAAGAAGCCTGAAATGTGTCTTCATCCATGAACTAAATCGTGTGATGTGAATAATTGCGTTTTTTATGTATTACGTATGTGTGTACTGTCTTTCTTATTCGAAAAGTTTGCCATCAGCATTGTGTTGGTAGAAGTGTGGATTCCGTATACGTTATTGTTGTTTCGTATTCTCCATAAAGATAACCATCAAAACCGGTCCTAGTTGATTCCACATTACAGATCCTTCAGCTTGACGGCAAATATCTCCGTTAAAACAGAATTGTGCACTTGAATTGCATAGAAGCGGTAATTTTTCGACTTAAGCATGTGGCACTATAAATTTATCCGACTAGTTTAATTGAGTAGGAAAGTTGATAGCTATCGACCAACCAAGTTTTTTCCCACCTTTCACCGCCAAGTGCGGAAACTTAATAAAGTTCTCACATGCGGGGAATTCGTCCAGTCAACAAGAAAATGGTAGTCATCAACAAAAAGAGTTTCGCTGAATTGGTTTTTTTAATTGGATTTATTTTTGTAACCTTAATCAAAGATGGCGTGACAGAGTCCTGAGTTCAGCGCGCTTCATAGTCATTGGTCAAAATAAGTGCCCAACATGTGGCACTGGATAGCGTTAACTTGGAAATTTTTTCTCGGTAAATTGATATTAGTAATACTTATTTTGTTATTACTATAATCTATAACAGATTCACAACAGATCGTACGATTAATGTTCTGTTACTCGTTACCATTCTTGTCCAACTGTCCATACGGAATCGGTCATACAGTGATCGTTTTATTTTCAATTGGTTGCAATCATAAATTATTTGCATTCTAATTGGAAAAAAACTGTTTAACTTGTGGTCCTTTCCCAGGTTGGTGTCCATGCATCTATGGTTTCATAAATAATAAGTTTCGCGAAATCAAATAATTTGAATTTTACTCGTCGAAAAATTCCAAGTTACCATTCGGAAATGTATTTTATGTAAACCCGTTTCATTGTTTTAAATTTGCAATCGGATTGACGTCAATTTCAATCTACACTTTTTCAAACATTCAGGGTGACTGGATTCCACTGTTCGCTGCTCCCGATCAAAACATTTTCGAGTCTCCTGCCTGGCCCCATCCTGTAAGTTGACGTTACATGGATCAAAATTCTTATTCTCGGACATTCTCTCTGGAAATAGCGTTGTTCGAATAAGGAGATTGGATCACATTGTTTGATATCAGTTAATAAATTTTCTTTTTGTTTCCCATTGACAAATAACTGACCAAATATTCGGTTCCAAAAGATTCTGGATGTCAGGCAATTCAAGATGTGGTTTCATTATTTTGTCAGAATCCCTTGCGACGCCAAGCATATCAAATCTACTAACAATAGGCGTATAAAGTTCACATTTATTAGAATTTCTAATCTCTCTGTTTCATTACGGACGATTATCGTGTCATAACATGTTGGGTAATTTGTGCTTCTCCGTGCGTATCATATTCCGTTGGATTATTTTCTCCATGCTCTGCAACGTATGTCGATTGGAATTTGACTACTTTACTTTAAATAATACAAACCTATCTGTATTCCAAAATTAATGTACTGTAGCGCGCTACGGACAGGCAGGAGAAGAGTATCACGGGGCTAAACATACAAATCCAACACCAAAAATCACGTCCGGAACCTCCGCTTCGAACAAGTTCCCGAGTGTCCCAAAGTTGGGACCAAGATCCATCTCCGAATCCCACAAGGCCCTCTGGAACGCTCCAAACACACTCACCACTATCTGATGTAATCACTCAGGAAGACGAAGTCCGCACAGTGAGTGAATTTACCGTTTGATAGACCTAAATCTTATTGCTGGCAAGGGAATGCAGGGTAGACTTGCTTAAATTGCTTTCTTTGCTTTTTACTATATTACTAACTGATTTTTCCACAATGCTCATGATAATCCGATTCTTTGCATCGATTGTTCACGTGTTTCGATTTCTTTTTGTATTCTTCCTAGGTTAGCAGAAACCAGCCCTTAATAGAACCTATTTCAGTATCCCAATAGTTTGACTTTTTATAGCCACATATCACATTAACTGTCATTCGGAAATTTTGGAACAAAGATGGCAAGCAACCATAGTCTCCAAAGCCGCTTTTATTTGAAACGTAAGATGAGGTGCCCGGGGGATCAACATTCTACCGCAACTCGTGATAGAAATCACAGTTGGTAGAGGTATAGGCAAGTGTTTCACGGGAATTATGGGGAAGATGAAGGCATTATCCGGTGGCTAAACGAAAATGAATCTACTGGGTTCACACGCTCCGGTTTCAGTCACCCAAGTTGGTGTGCTGAATCCACTTCAATGACGCAAAGAGACTTGCGCAGACGAATGATAACTGTCGCAATCATTTACAGCGCTCTAGTTCTGCTCGATTGTAACGTGTGTGGTTGGACCTGGTAAACGACGATAAATTCCGGATCAGCGTAGTTCCTGGTATATATATATATATCCCTTAAAATGAATGATTTAGTATCTCACTCTTCCATGTAAATCCTAGCCCGGGATACGAAAACTAAAGTTGATTGTATCATACTCACAGTACATACATTTCTCCAGTTATATTGTTGGACCCAGTTTGCATTCACTGTTTGTACCATACTCGAATTTGAGCACGCATATAGATCCCATTTCATAATATGAGGAATAAGAGTGATAGACGCATTAGTTGAGGACACACTGATCTCGTCGTTTGTGATGTGACGGGATACCTTGGATGCACTTCCCTTAAAACGACTGAGTTCTTGGGGAGTATGGGTTGACTTCAAGACGGTTATCAATCTTCAATAGAGGTGGGTACAAGAGAGGCCTAAAGCAACGCCAGTTGTTTGTAGATGGCACAACCCTGGCACTACACACAATCAAGTGCTGACTGTGAGGCAGTTGTGTTGATATTGTGTTAAAATCGGTTTGCATAACGCAATTCATCCCGGCTGATGATGGAACATTTTCAAACTAAATGTCAAACTTGGCGAACAGGCCTCCCTCTGAGTTCATTCGCCGTTGGACAGGTGCGAGATTCAGCCCAGTGATCGCTGTTATTTGCATAAATTTACTTTAAAGTCGTTAGATCAAGCTGAAGATCTGGTCCACGCGACGAGGATTAGCAGCTACCTTTACGTGTCACAGGTCGTCTAATCCGGGTCTTTAGGTTTCGGTTACCTTTGAACTGTTTTAGCCCGGCAGTCAAGCGACTTGCCGGAGAATTGCTCCTAATGCACGCTTCAGCTTATTGGATTCAGATGAAAAAAGTCATGTGGTAGAAACCGAAGAGTTTAAGTTGGCACTTGGGAACACGGAAGTTTACCAACTCAGAGGTGCCCATGTCTTAAGAAGTCCCCTAAACTCAGACGCTAAATGTGCTCTAGATTGATCGGTGCGAAATGATCACTCACAATATAGAACTCTGTCGTTGGATGTGTGTCATTTTACTGAGTACATGCGTATTTTGGCTGACTTTGATTTTCACCTTCATGCTTTTCGAAAGTATCTTGTCAGAGAACCGACAGTTCTTCCTACAAAGGGAAATCAATTACTTCTTTCTGAAACTGAAGACTTTGCTCACATAGGTAGGAACTGAACAACTCATTATTTCCCCACATGGCTAGATTTTACACATGTGTCTGAAATTGAATACCTTCATTTCAAAGACTAATTTGTACATCATCACAACCACCACCACCACCACCACTACTACTACATCCGCCACTACTTCTACCGTGGTTATTGCAAATATCATTCGTTGATAACAGTTTGACATACAGGAAGATGATATACTGGATGAAGAACCTGAGAAAATGCTGGAAACAGATGTTGATCAAACAGACCGCATATTGCCTCGCTCTCCCTCGTTTCAACATGCTGTGCGAGATCGGTCTGATGAAGTGGGAGAAGTGAGTTCCACACAAAAACAGCGGTGTCAGCGTTGCAACTAACCTGCTCCCGTTGTGAATCGGTCCCACGCGCCCCACCCCTAAACCATGTGCGTGTTTTTGCTAACCCCTGAATGCTAACCTCACAGCTAGTCATAATAGATTGATTTACTTTTTCAGTACACTTGTGTGACTCCTTTGAATGAGTGTGATAGGAAAAGTTTGACTAGCATCAATCAGGTGATCTGTCGCAATTTCCACTAAAATAAATTCATTTGTAATGATTCGGTTCCCTTCTACCTGAGAAGAAGGCGTAGAAGAAAAAGTATGCTCCGAGAAATGGTCAAATGTGAAAGTGGTAATCAGTGACATGAAATGGAAATTCGGGTCAAATAATCGACCTAGATCATTTTCATCGTGAACAGTATTGCCCCTTCGAGCCATTTGAAACACAGTGTTTATTCTTTTAACTACTGTGATGCAGCAGTTTCTTTCACAGCTCTGTAATTTACAACTATACACCTGTTTTCCAGTCATACTCTACTTAAGAATTAAAGGTGGAATGCACGACTAGAACTACCCTTTCATATTTGGCGCTAAATATGACTAACCGTGTAACTGTATGGTAAGTATTGAAAACGTATGCAAGATTAGGGACAACAACCGCGAAACCATCTGCATACTACCACGGATACTTTACCCAGTTGTTTAACTCTCTCCTTTCTGCATACTAGAGATTTATTGAATCCAAACAATGATTCGTGAATAGCAACTGCCAATCATAATCCGTGGAAAGTATCCACTGTTTCACCATGCACTTTTTATCTGATTAGACTGTTGTCAGTCTGCATTGATTACAGTCAGTAGTGAATGCGGAAACTTGAACAGGATAATCCGAACTGAGTTTCTTCGAGAAAAAGTAGTATTCACCACTTGGAAACTCACCGAGATGGTATCGAGGGACCACAAATTAACCGAATGAGTATTGTTTTCGTAGGAAGTGCAAATTCGCTCACAGAACAGGATCAAAGTGAATCGACCCTTTCGAAGACTATTTCGTCCAAACTGATACACGATCATTCAGGTCTTAAGAATTCATCCGTATTTTGCAAATTGAGATTCCGTTTATCCCCTCCAAGTCACGGGGTAGGTTCGAACAAATCGAACTTCGGTTGAGTTCCCGGTCGAACGTAACTGATGGTAGTAACGTAAAATTTGATTTTCATCATGTGGCATTGGAAACTTAAAAATTGGTCATTTAGCAGAAAAACAAACTATCCAATTGCAAGAAGTTTTCTTTCACAAACGAGGTTTGTTAGATACATTGTTTCGTTTTTTGATATATTGATCATAACATTTGTATCATTTAATGGACTTTCGGTTAACTGAGTTTCCTTGGAAAACTGAGAAAATCAGTGGTTCATAAGGAAATTTGTTTTATGATTAACCGCGATCACTGTCACCAAGCAGATGTCGGAAATTAACACAGACGCTTTATAAATTGAAAACAGTCGAGCAAACCTTTTTGATCCTGGTAAGTAAGCAGGAAAGGCAAGATTCCAAACCCTGGGGTATGCATTCGTGCAACCACAGGAAGAAGGCGTGGGGACCGAATGTACAACGGTACAATCCCTTCCTAAGATTTGGACCTACGATGATCAGAGATTACTTGGAAACAAGCAAACGTGAGAAAGTTGGCTGCCTATGTCGGACTCAAAACTCGCGAGCTCCGGGTCAATGCGTTGGTAACTTATTTCGCTAGACCATTGCTAATCCATTCCAATTCCTACTATTCTTACAGTCATGTACCCCATATATGTATCTTCAGTTATAAATTGGTACGGAACACATTCACTACTTCTCTATGCCCTGATATTTATCCCGCTGAAACAAAACAGAACAGAACAGAACTATTCACTCTTTCGAATAAAATAGTCTGAGCGGCCTCGATTAGGGAGGAATTCGGATTCACCAAGAATAAAATTGCAGAATTATTTCACAAAAGTGTCCGTCACTCAAACCAGTTATTCACTCAAGCAGATCTTTCGCAATTCATTTTTAAGTTTCATCGCCCAAAAAGGAATTAATGACATATTATCTGGTTTCAAGAGATTTGTCCCTTTTAATGATGATAAGCAAACTTAAATCTCCCTTTGTTTGCACAATTCGTTTTGTTCTAAAATGGTACGCACCACATCAATGAGGGAACTCAGTGCAACTCATCGATGGAACGTTGAGTTGATTCATACCGTTTTTCCCTTTTGTATATACATTCTCCATATTTTGTTTCATCTGCAAATAAAACTGAACAGTACAAACCACCATGTTTTTGAATTGGTTTCCTCGTCTAATAGACAATTTACTACAAGTGATTCAGCTTTGATTAACATACACAATTTTGGCGTACCACATCAATTCAACGTTTGTTTATTTACAGCTGAACAAACCCTTTGTTCTCGAACCATTTTCCCCCAAAAAGAAAACTCATGACCATTTCGATTACTCAGTTACTGAAGTTGTCTTTGCACATATGTACGTATTACTGTAATTTGATTCATCAGTGTTAAGAACTTTTTTAAATTCACTTGAAATCATGCCACTCAGTAATCTGATGGTGTGTCACCCTAACGCAATTTGCATATCCAGTTTGAAAATGAATGCGTATGCTCATTCCTGGAGCATCAGTGATCGCCGATTACCTTTTTTTGGTTTACCTTGTTTTATGCACTCAATCATCTATGCCGATTTGACTATTCTCGCTCCATGAGTGTCGCAAGATCCCCGGGTTGATCCGGTCTCCACGTGACATGAATAATTGGCTTTGAGCAACTGGACTGATCATTCGGTTTAGTGTTACTCTGTTCGAGAGGTGTTTCTTCCTCATTCGTTCACCTGATCCCATTTACTGTTCTATTTCTGTATAGTTTTTCACGTTTCCACTCCCTCTGTTTTCTTCATTCATACGTACATCATCTGATTCAATCACGCTACGGTACACTAAGATCAATTGCGAGTAAGTGCTGACTGGGATGAACACAAGCCTAAGAAATCATATAATCATGGCCATACCTGAGCCAGCTCGCGTTTGCATCATCATCATCATCATCCGCTAGTATGCTGTTCATTTGCTGCCAATGTCGGTATCCTCAATATCCTGCCCCGCTGCTCACTTACATATCTTTCTTTGTCTGATCTGCGTCCCAACTACGGGACCTATCCCGATCAACTCGGTCTAATCCAATTGCTGGTTTGTGCGTTCTCGTCACATTGTACCTCACTGCTGTTAGACCCAATCTCATCTTAGGTAACTTGGTGAACGAATGAAGGGGACGATGGGTGTAGGTTATGCGACCGGTTTGGTGAGACTCTGTTGGTCGTCAAGTAAATCTTTTGTTTCTATCGTTCAACTTAATCGTGCATGACTTTTGTTACTCTCAGTTCAAGGTGTCTTTTAAACGCAAATATTTTAATTAACCTTTTATGAACCATTTATCCATTATATGCATTTACTATTTTATTCAGAGAGTTTAATAGATTTATCCTAAATAAATCGCTTACCTGAGGGAGCCCGAACATTTTCAGTGCAAACTGATAGTGCAAATGAACTATTTACTGATCTTTAACTAAAATTCCAACTAGGTAGTGCATCCGTGACTGCGACTAGTAGCCTGGGATTGGATAACTGGAAAAATTGGACGTTGCCTGACAATAACTATAATCTTCCACAATTTTGCTGCAAAAACTATACATTCTAATTATTTTTTAATGTATGGACTATTAGGAAGAGAGAATATCAATGTGTATTTTGGTGACGTATGACTTTATTCATCCTGATTTTGGCAAATGGAATGCAGTTAAAAATCATTTAATCCGCTTCAGCTTCTATTTATTTCATCATTACCATTTTTCCAACATTCACAGTCACAGTTCGCTGATTGCACATAGCAGTTGGTGAGAAAACACGCCAGTGGGTTTCAATGTAAGGCTTCTCTCTTTCATGGGCTTTGTCGGGGAAAAATAAAAATTCCCTTCAATGAGTTTTAAAATCAACACCACTGAGCAACCAGAGAGCATACAGTTCTCTTCAGGAATGGATCAATGTGGCTTTCAGTGTTTTCGTACACCAATTCTTCTCTCTCCTGACAAAGATTTTTATCTCTTTTCCCCTAAACTCGTATTTTTGAAGATAATCTAAGTCTTTGCACAATCCAAATTGATCCTATTCATTCCGATTCCTTGCTTTTGACTAGCGCTCATCAAATTGCATAAATGGAGTGAAACGATGACCTCTTCTTCTGACATACGAGGTCCTCAAATCAGACTATGCATTATCTGCTCTAAACCGATGAAAACTAACACAGCAAATGTATGCATCCCTCAGTTTCTGTTGTCATTCCGACCACTTGGCAAAATATATTATTTTGGCAATGGCGTTTCCGCATCAACCGGTTTTCTGTTTCCTGACCCATACTATAACATCAGAAGAACTACCAACCCAAGCTATACAAACGGTTCGCGAATTTTCACTTTCGTTTCCAATTATAAGTTGTAGAGCCGCGTGGACAGCTCCCAATTCACCGTTTCTCTTGGTCAACTTCCATTTAAATTTATGTTGTTACCCATCCTTTTGGAGATAAGTTTAGAACAAATGAGAAAAATGCACCGATACACTCATTTTCCAACTATTCCCACAGATCCATTTTCGTGTACAAAACGATTACACCTCAGTTGAGAATAACGAAATTCTGAGCTCTGATTATTATATTTCACAAGTGAGATTGAGTGCAACACACACGTATATCGGGTGTACCATTGTTTTATTAGATCGAACTCATTTAAGTGGGAACTAACACCCTGCTCCATTTTGCAGAAAGTGCTGTGGTGCATGTGTTTCTCATTCTCCGAAGAAACTGAAGTTGAATCGCTTCAGTGAGTGGTGAACAACCCGTATTTTGAGAACTGATTTTGTGTTCCTACAATGGTGAAGCACTCCGGCGGTGTATTTCAAAATGATGTGAACTGTCGCATAGAACTAGAAATAATCCACACATTATTCCAACTTCGTTGTTAATTGACCACATCTTTTGACGATAAACTGTATTGGGTCCATTCTCGTCCATTTTGGATCAGCATTGGATGCACATCGTCAACACAACTGGGGGTGTTTTTTTCTTGTCCTAATTGTTTTGCCTACTCATGAGTAACATTGTACTGAATAGGGTTCTCATGGGATATCCACGAAAGGAATAGTTTCGTTTCCAGTTGCAAGGGTGTTTTGCATCCGGTGTTTGAGTGCAATACCGGTAGCTCTTCAAATGCTAATCCATAGTTTCTCCAATTGTTCTGTGATTGATTCATTCACTTTGTGGTGGGAATAATGATCGCATATTTGTTGAGCGTTACCATTTGATCGGCCCATTCAGACCCCGATCACTGGTGCCGTGCAGTGGAGCAAAACTCACAGCGTCCAATAACTCTAAAAAACCTGTTTTTTTCATTCCCCCAATACGTCATTTGAAATGAATAATCATCCTATTTACTGAATATTTGTAGGTTACCTATCGATCAAACGGGGTGAGATTCGGAAACGATGCCGACAAGGTCAGTTACACTCAGAGATCAAAGTTTTATTTGCGTGTATCTTGACTACTTTTGAACGGACACTGGTACACAGCTGATTGTGATGAAGTAAAATTTAAAGACAGCCTATTCATAATTTTCTTTATAATCGTGAACTAAGCCCAGTGTCGTAATCAGCCCACAAATTGTTGCCGACTGTGTTTTCGGGAATTTATTTATCAACATCTAGATCGGAAAAAACAAGATGAATATGTGGTGGGTTCACATGGTTGAGATCAACTCATAACAACATCGGGTAGAGAATGAGGCTCCGGTTAATTTTCAGTTATCTTGTTCGAAAGCAAAGGGGTAGCTTTATCGGTGGCAAATTTTCCGCGTCATCACTACGCTCATCTGTGAAATAGACTAGTTTCGGCCAAAACAGATTAATTGTTTTATGCATTCAATTTTGGCTGTGAAAAACAGATAGCGATCGTCGCAGCTAGTCATAGACTTTATTGGCGGACCGGATAAATTATAGTGACCGTCGAACCGGCATCCACCAGATATCCAGCGGAACTTTGAGATGACCCCACGTGGGAGCGTGGTGATGACGTGCAATATTTGCCACCGTTTTCACAACCTTAACAACAGAACTTGTTATAACATGAACTCCTACTCTCAACCCCTCCCATATTTAGTAGGATCTGGTTACGATCCACATTATCCTCTCCGCACGTTCTCAAACATTCGGAAATTAGTTGTCGAAAGTGTATGTGAAAATGATGTGGCCGCAACANAACAAAACTCGATCGTTCCTCTCGTAATTTGTATTCCTGAGCCTGAGGAAGAAACCAGAACTGTTTCTTATACCAAATAATGTATTTTTAATTGTCTACATAGTACTGGACGCATTGGAAGGACAAAACAACGTAGACACACAATGTCACTGTGTGCATGTTTTTTTATATAGAAAAATAGCACATTAAGCAGCATCACTTGAAGTAAAAAACTTCGTGAGACTGGATGTGGTCTTGCGCCAGACGACAACGAGCTCATCTACCGTCGAAGTGAATCGTTAAGCAGTTTGGAAACTCAAGCATCAGTGGATATGAAGGAAATGTAATTTTTGAGATCGCCTTAGTAGCGTCCGCACTTCAAAATCATAATAATTTTAGAACTGTATCTATTTTTTGTAAATCGAGGCGCGTTCTATTCGATCTTTTGGGAACCAGGCTGTATTGGCTGGCGGCTATACGAGCGATACAAGTGTAATAATTCCCTCTACTGATTGCATTTGTGATTTGCTTCTCGATAAGGTCTTCGGTTGAGCTAAGCAAATACGCATGCTTTCGTTAAATTACAGTAAATACACAGACATTGTGTGCGTCATACTTGCAATGTAAAACATTAATTACCGTAAGAAGCTCAGTGCTTTGTGGGAGAGTATTTGAGTTTATAACTAACAGCTTAGTTTATCTGAGAATTTTCAGTGTTTCTTTAACTCGTTATCTTCTGGAAGATACTTATTCGTGAAAGGTTTTTTCTCATCACAACTTTCTCTCTCTGTTTCAACCCGGCTCAGGCCTTGAACGAAGCCATTCTTCAAACAACCCACCTGAGTCGTGATACTGCTGTCCTCAGTGGTTCCGTTGGAGTCCTGCCCAAGAGCAACGGTCGTGCTTAATCAACTTCCACCCGAGTCCCTCGAATCAAACACCCGGTTCACTAAAATCCAAATAAGCTTCGGACCAATGTATAACTAATCCTCCTTCCTATCCTATCACTGATTTATCCGGGTTATAGAGGTCTCGCGCTCTCTCTCTCTCTTTTGCCTTCATGCCCCTTCTCCATTCAATCTCTCAACCTCTTCCGTATTCGTCTCGCCCCCCGATCTGCTTTAGTGCAGTCACAATCGTATTTATCCCACCGGAATGCTCACAATCAAGTTCACACGTCACATGTGCATCTGTAGACAGAGATGTGAACGATTGAATAGCTTGATCATTCTGATTGTCTCTCGCTTTTGATCATCGAGCACTTGGTTGGTCAATCCCACCTAACACTGTCCCGCTTGGTCGTTCTGATTCATGCCCCATCACCACCCCGCTTCCCTCTATCCACTGTGTCTGTGGTATCTAATCCCCCTAATAGTCGGGCCCGACACAGTCCAGCCTCGCTCGCATTGATCATTTCAACCGTGTTTTTCTACATGTGCCTAGCCAAATGTGATTATGTTTATTGTGGTAGCTCATATCTTTGATTATCGTAATTCGTTATCTTCGATTTTTTCACTTCTTTTACCCACCTCCCCCACGCCACACACCGTTCATACAAAGGTCTTTTTGGTAACTGAACGCAATCCGGGGTCGAGCCCAAACCCACAGAAATTGCTTAGAGCGCCTTTCTTTCGTTATTGAAACTATCGTTAGTTCATTCTGTTTATTCATCGGCCCGCGGTCCAGTCAAACTTCCGTCTCGTTGAGACACTGTAATCTTTTCGTTGCTATCTTTTTTATGTCCATTTACAGTTCAATCTTCCCTACCAAAGGTAATGTAAATTGGATGAAAATATCACTACAAACAGCCATATTGGCGTTTCCGATTTCCAGTAAATAAAAGATTTTATTTCTTAACCCTAACCCACCCTCGCATTCCTTCATTTCCCGCCCCATGTCATCACAAGTATCGATTTTCGCATGCTTAGATTACTTTGCAAATCTGCAGGATTTGTGCTTCAGACTGACAATGTGAATAATAGTGACATCAATTTTAACTAGCCTATTCTTACTTATACCTTTGACGTGACCCTGCTTTATTATACAATTCGTATCAGATTCATGGGTTCCAAACCTTGTACACCATCTTCACACACTTCTCTCACCCTTCGGTTCTTTCTGTGAGACTTTTACGATTCCAATGCGGCTACATGTTTGCCGGGTAACCCCTCATTGCAAACACATTCCCGATATTACGTCATAACGGACTATCCCCCCATTGGTTAATCGGATCAATTTACGCATTAGTGATAAGTCTATCTGATTCCCATACCCCGCGCATATTAGGGCCACCAGTTTTTATACAGATCCATCTGAATGGACACATTTCAAATCCTATATACTTCTTTTTCTTATTGTGGCTCTATTATCATTTTCCAGGCTCGCCGCTATTTGTCAAAATTGTAGAAATTATTCTGGTTCTTGTTCATACAGCTGTTCCACTGTGCGTACTTTGCATCATCACAGTTTGCTTGTTCAGAAGAAGAGAGGAAATCAGTGTCGTGAACTATCCTCGTTCCGATACCCTGTGTGCCTCAGCTCATCATACCGCACATGGATTATCTGATATCATCCTTCGCTAGCACAATGATTCCTGTCTAATGCGGACTGCTGTTTTTGTACTATTCTTCCACACCTAACCGCCTCATATCCCCGTGTGGTTACATAACATCACGGATCCCCTTCAATCTGATTGATTACTTTCCACACAGTGCTTCCAGTGGTCTCCTGTGATCCACAACCGACCCCGTCATTTTCGTACGCATGTATGGGCTGCGCTTCGGTACGTCCCTGACGTTTCAGTGCGCAGCAGTTATATAGTCTGTTTCATCTCTTGTACTGTTCGCGCGTAACTGAGTTATTTCGTCTGTTTCGTTTGGATTCCCACAGCTACCACAGAACGCGCATATCATGCTCATAACTGCATACTAACAGACAACACGTACACAAAGCCAAACTACCTACAAAAACAAACACATACCAAACGCGTGCAGACATGTGTGCTCGCATACCTACATACATTACATACACACAAATATAAATGCATACGCATCGGCGCGAAATTTGCTTATCTCACTCACAAAACCTACGGAACTATCAGCGTGCTTACCTGTTTATCGCACCATCGATTTATAGAAGTGCCACATAACGGAAAAGAGCCCATACACTTTCACTTCAAAATATCGCTTTTCTAGTTATGTCTTTGTGTGTGTTAACTTCTTCCCAGGCTGGACGGTTTATCGCGTCGTTGAGTCGATGTGAGGGGGGTGGGGTCGTAGTGAAAGCTGTACGACGGTTTCAGTTTTTATTATTATTGGCGAGAGAATACTTTCACCGGTGCCAAGCTTCCAGAAAATAGTTCCGCGTCAGACTGGCTTGAATTAAGATCACAGCATCAGCATAATTAAAGATCTTTGTTGGTGGGATAAAAAATAAATCACTAGTGAATATTGAAAATAAGTACGGTGAAAGCACATCCTAACGGACGCCAGAATTGTTCTCTAACTGTTTTGAAACAGTACCGTTTGCTTTCTGTCGTTGAATCCCTCCCGTTAATGAATCTTTTAAATACGATAAATTTGCGGAACAACCGAGGAACTGTAACTTTTTAAGAAGAGATTATGGGACAGAATCGAAAGCGGAAGAATAATCGAGGAAGACACAACGAATGGATTTGCGGGAACCGCCTTAAGATTAACAAATAAATTCCAGCAGTGGAAAGACAGCGTCCATCGTTAATTTATTTTGCTTCTAAGCAAACTGAAGGAGGTGATTAGGAACATCAATAGCAAACCCAAAACTGGTCAGAATACCGCAATCTTCAGCTTTAAGTCCAGAGAAAGTTACGGGATGAAGGCTTTTGGATAAAATACTAGAATAAGAATATTTTTGAATGAGAACAATGGTGAAAGGTTTCCGGGAATCAGAATTTGAATGTGTATACAAATTTATAGATAAGGGACGCGAAAAGCCCTGTGAGTAGACCAGTGCCATTTTTGAGGGCAGGCAAATACAGACATTGTGGTCCTACAGTACTCGTGATTTTAGTACTTTTGGAAAGATGACTTTCGTGATTGACGGGTTTTGTGTTAGGTAAGCAATCTATGGGGTAGGACGACAACTTATCATTTCAAGGATAAACCAATGCAGCATTGGGGCTGTCCACGTCATTAGTTATGGTCGTGGACCGGATCCTCTGCCCGCGAAGCATTCCAATCCCTTGCCCAAACAACCCTTCACCTCCAACTCCTAGGAATTGCTTGACTAGTGAAACAATCAGTCTTTTGACATCCTCCCTGATTTGTACGGAAGCTGTTTCACACGAGTCTGATACATCTTAAACGCTTGTTCTTTCTCACGGCTTTTAGTAGCAGGGAGAGTAATCTGTCAGTGTGAGTAAAACTTGTTTCCATCGGACGGCAAAAAATTGAAAATAACAGCGGGTTCAACAAACTGTATCACAGAATAGAGATTGTTGTAAGAAGAAACACGAGCAGACCATGGCAAGCGATTTCTCTAGGTGAAGGCGTCACAGGCTGAGGGATACTAAGATTTTATGTTCCTTTGTTTTGGTGGAATGAAAGTAAACAACGTTTCGAACTTGTCGCACCGAGTGAAGGTAATGTAGATTGTTACCCCGCCTCCAGTCTCATTCCTGGTTATTCTTCGTTCCAGTCGAAAACTTGCAAAACCGGATATGCTGACCAGCAAGTTTGCTATCTTTTGGTTAAACCACGTTCCTGCATGCATATCACACACGTGCTTATGGGCACGCGGTAATTTAGTAGGCTGGTGACGTCAACCAATTTACTAAATAGCGAGAAAATTAGGAAATGGTCGCCTTCTCACGAGTATGTGTAAGAATAGTCTAAAACCCTAACTGCTTAGTTTTCTTATTCTAGTCAACAAGTTCAGTTAGGGTTGATTCATTAAAGTTGGATCGACCATGTAGCTCAAGTCTAAGAGCCGCCGGTTGAGTTCTTGTGAGTACGCATTTCTCGCCGGTTCTGGCATGGACGAAACAGCAGCCTACATCGTTTCCCGTGATACTTTATCCTTCTATGATCACCTATGACTTTCAGTCTTCATTCATTATTTTTCAGCCTTATAGATCGGTTTTTTTAGATTTCGTAGCAATTTGCTTACTGAAGAGCACAAAGTTACATCCTAATTGTCAGACAGTACTTTCATGAAGGTGTTTCGGAAAGGGTTGACGACCGATGGTAGCTAAAACTACTGAGTAGACCAAATCAGGAATGAAAACTGAATCAATGCCTCTGTGTCCACTACCAGGTAAAGAAAGAAAATTTCCCAGGGATCATTGATGCAATGTGTGTGTAGTTAATCAAGCACACACACAGCTAAGTGGTGGGTGTCCTTACTTGTTTTGTGCTTCGTTATTTCATATTACAAATCTTAGTATATTGACTCGGCCTCACTGAAACGAACCAACCCATCGTCTAACCAACCTCACGTTCAGATAAACTATAAAAACAAATGGACAACATACTTCAAAGTTTCTCCAAATTTCCATTATCAAAATATTTTTCGTCTTTTTTCACCAGAGGGATTTCAGAAAAAGTTAGAATTTACTGATCACAAAAAGTAAAACTAAACGGGAAAATATTTGTAATTTCCAAGTAGCAAGTATCTTCCAAAATTTGATATTAGTGACTTCTCAGTGTGGTGTGGCTTCAGGCACTTGAAATAAGTCCTCTCGGTATTGAATTGTGAGGTTTTGTATTTTATCATCTTGAACTTTCCTAATTTTGCTCCTATTTCTGGAATATGTAAGTCAAGTCCTCTGGCTACATCATAAGTATTGTTGGCTAACGGTTGGCATCTTCCTTGACCGAAAAGGAGCCTTCGACTCAGTTGGTCGTGAATCCTTTATAGGTTTGCTTCTTCG